TATCATCACCCTGGTTCAAGTCATCATTAACTGTTCCTTGAGGCAGCAGCCTTCTAACTAGTCACCTGCGTCCATACTTGACCCCGCAGCCAGAGTGATCATTCTAAACCGCAGGTCAGATCAAGGTGTCCTTCTACTGAACACACTCTTTGGCTTCTCAGTTTGGTCAGAGGAAAAGGCAAAATCCTTACCATGACCTACAGCTGGCTTCCAGGGTACCAAAGAACCCTTTAAGACTTCAACTTCTGCCACTCTCCACCTTGTTCCAGCCATATTGGCCTAGTTGCTCTTGCTGGAACCCACCAGGAATATTCCTGCCTTAGGCCTTGGCACTTGCTATTCACCCACCCTAGAATGTTCTTTCTCCAGTATCCACTTGGTTCACAACCACTTCTTCCCTGTGTGTGCTCACATGTAACTTCATTAGAGTCCTTTTCTCTTCGCTGTGTATTGAACATAGCAATAGCCTTCATTCATCCCTTTACTCTGTTTTATTGCTCATCATAGCACTTACCACATGTTTTATATAATAATTTGTTCATAGTGTGTCTCTTCTCATAACAATGTACACTACAGGAGAACATGGACCTTTTTGGTTGGTTATTATACCCCTAAAAAAAAAAAAAAAAAAAACCACCAACCTCACTGCAGATGAGTTGGATCCAACTCATAGCAACCCCTCCTTGGGTTTCCCAGGCGGTATCTCTCTGGAAATAGATTGCCCAGTCTTCCTTCAGAGGAGTGGCTTATAGGTTTAAAATAATGCTTGTTATATGATAGATGGGGAGCTCTGGTAGCATAGTGGCTAAGACACTTGCCTGCTAACCAGACGGCTGGCGGTTCAAACCCACCAGCCACTCCTCGGAAGGAAGGTTGGGCAATCCCACTTCCGTAGTGATACTGCCTCGGAAACCCAAGGAGGGGTCGCTATGAGTCGGGCCGACTCGACGGCACATAACAACAACATAACAACAACATATGATAGATGCTCAATAAAATTATTGTTGAATGAAATGATTCATAATATTTCATGTCAAACATTTTATTTCTTCATTCTTTTCACCAAATCTTTAATAATTATAAGAATAATGTGTATTACAGACTTGCTCCATGCCAGGCACCAAAAACCAAACCAAACTCACTGCCATGGAGTCAGATCCAACTCAACGACCACTCCTTGGGTTTCCCAAGCAGTATCACTTCAGAAGTAGATTGCCCAACCTTCCTTCGCAGGACTGGTGCCAGTCTCCTGGTTAGCAGTCAAATGCCTTAGGCACTAGGCCACCAGAGCTCCCATATGCTCTATGCCAAATGCAGGGCATGCCAACCCCACAGGAGCTCTTGGGGAAGAGCTGGAGACAGCCCCCCTAAGAGGTGTGGCCCTCCCCGGCCAGGAATGGTGCAGTTTCTAGGCCTGCTTAGCCCGAGCGCAGCGGACCCAGGGACCTGCCACAAAAAGGAGGAAGAGGTAGGGGGAATCTCACTCTGCTACTCGCTCCGGCCCGTTTATGGCGCATGCTCCGCCGGGCCGCGGCTGCTCCGGGAGGGGGCGGAGTCTCTATGGTACTTCCCGGTCGTCGGCTACTCTGATTGGCGGCGCGTGTAGCCTGAGCGGGGCCCTGGCGCTCGCCCTCGCGTGGGAGCCGCTCAGCCCCTCCAAGTCCCCTCCCTGCACCTCGGCCAACTTTGGCTGACACAGCGGGCCCGGACAGCGAGCGCCCAGGTGAGTGCAGGTCCCGCCGCCACTTGCGGATGCGGCGTAGGAGCCCACGGGGGGCCTGTCTGTGCCTGCTCTCCGGGAAGGCCGCGCACTGTCCCTAGGTGGTCAGCCCTCGAGATCACAAGCCAGAGCGACCCCGAACCTGTCGACAGGTCCCTCTGCTCTTTGTACCCGGCGAGTCTTGAACGAGGTACCTGCGGGTGCGTTTTCTGCAAGAGGTGGTCTTCTTGTGAGGCATCTCACAAAGACCACGCAGTGGTACCTGAAGTCCCCCTTTCCTTAGACGCTCTCGGGTTTACTGGATACTGTCCATTTGCCACACAGTGCAACTGCGCAATCCCAGGACTGCGGGACCAGCTGGGATATCTGATTCCCGGCTCTCTTCCTTCTTCGAGGTGCTCCCTTCCCGTTAGCTACCCCGGCAGCCTGCTTTGCCTCTCCTTAGCCAACGGCGTGGTCGAGAGCGGACTTTGGCATCAGTTGTGAAATCAAATCCAGGCGATACTGCTGTTTAACCAGGTGGCATTTTGCTTTGGGAATTTAACTTGGGTGAACCTCAGTTTCCTGAGACGGAAAGATTCCTAATCCTGAAAGATTAGGTTTAACGATACTGCATAGAGGTGCTTGAAGTAATTAACATAATAGTTGGGAAGCGCTGCTTTAGGTGTCTAACTGGCACAAAGCAAGAGCTTAAACAGGACCCTCCGTCGTCATTATTATTACAAAGGTAAATGAGAAACTGCTTTGGCGTGTTTGTTTCCTTCAGACACTGAACTGTTGAACCTCCACTACCTCAGTTTTCAAAATCTGTACTGTGCATCAAATACGTGCCTGGTTCTTAGTAGCTAAGTGTTGGGGATACTAAGTTCAATCGGACACTGCCTCTGCTCTCCTGGGATGGGGCAAAATGAGGGTACACAAGTACAGTGTAAGAAGAACTGGGATAAAAGGTGTAAGAGAGCCCAGAAAAAGGCACCAAACCCAGCCTGGGAATCAGGGGACCAGAGAACATCCCCGAAGGGGGCTTTTTCTTCTTGAATTTCTCACTCATCAACTTTGTAAGAACTGGTTGACTAATATGTTGAGAAGCTTACTTAATGTTTTGTTGGAAGGAAAATTAACTGAGTGACATGGTTCCAGCTGAGTAGCTTCAGGTGTTAACTCTCGTAAAAATCCCACTGCGGACCAGTTTGCTGGTCTGGTAGAGCCTGAGGGAACCACTGAGGCTATGGCCCCTAGCTGCTCTTGAGGTCTGGAATTGTGTTCCGTGGGTTTCCGAGGCGGTATCCTTACGGAAGTAGATTGCCCCATCTTCCTTCTGAGGAGTGGCTGGTGGGTTTGAACCGCCAGCTTTCTGGTTAGCTGTCAAGTGCCTTAGGCACTACGCCACCAGAGCTCCTACAGAAAGTGTAGAGTTCCCAAATAGCCCCCTCACCCCCTGCAAACTGTGCTTCCTATTGTTGTTGTCATTAGTTGTTGTGAGTCGGTTCTGATTCCACCTATTTGATTCCTTTTTAATATCTCCTGAAAATCAATTTCTTTATATGTAGACCTAATAAAAAAGTTGTGGAATAGCAGTTTTAGCACAAGTCACTTTTTAAAAATTATATTGAGATATAATCAACATACAATCGTATAAACTGTTGCCTTCTTGTTGACGTGGACTCTGTGCAACCCCATTTATATCAGAGTTTACCTGTGCTCCTTGGGGCTTTCAGTGGCTGATTTTGGGGGAGGATCTTGCCAGGCCTTTCTTCCAAGGCACCTTTGGGTGGTCAGAGACTTCCAGCCTTTCAGTTAGCCCCACAGTGCTTTAACTGTTTGCACTGCCCAGGGACTCCTAACATATAAGAGCAAGTCATATTTAAAGTGTAGAATTTTATCAATTTTGGCATATTTATACCCCTGTGGATACATCAGCACGATCAAGACAATGAACTATCTATCATCCCTAAAAGCTTTCTTGTATACACTCCCCTTTGTAATCTTTTCCTCCCTTTCCTTCTTGCCCCATGCACCACTGACTTGCTTTCTGTTAATATACATTAGGTTGTATCTTATATAGTTTTATGTAAATAACATCAGACATCTGTTTTGGTCTGGCTTCTTTCAGCTGAATTATTTTGAGATTCATCCACGCTCTTGTATTTTCATTCCATTTTATTGCTGAGCAGTACTCCCTTGTAGGTATATACCACAATTTCCTTATCCATTTACCCATTTGGATTTCTCAGTTTTTAGCTGTTAACACACAAAGCTGCTATGAACATTTGTGTATAAGTCTTTGTATGGACGTACATATATGAATCTTTTAAGTGAGTAGATTTATTTTTTTAAAGAAGTAAATCTGGGCTGTATTCCCAGCTTTGCCACTTACTATCTGGGTGTCCTTGGGAAAGTCACTAGTTACTTCATTTTGCCTTTAACACAAGGTCATTGGGCCATTCACCCCAAGGTCTTTGCTACATGGATAAGTGGGTGATTCAGAGTCATCTGCCAGATACTAGATGTTTTTGTTAATTGTTGGGAGGTCTCAGAAGGGAAGGGGGACATTCTTCTTCCTTCAGTTTCTTTTGTAGACTCTGTTTTCTTTTATGTCTAATTTTTTTTTTTCCTTGGGTAACATATTTGAATCTTGATGTGTAATTTGGAGCAAGGGCAGAAGTGAGTAGATAGTGTGAGGCAAGAGCTACGTTGGTCGAACTTATGATCAATTCCAAGCCCCTGAGTGGCACAGATCCCCCAGTGTACCCAGAGACATCATGGAAGAAGTCAGAAGCTACTTCTGAAAAATGAGCAACCTTGTGGAGCAGAGTGTTCTCTGACACGTATTGGGTCACCATGGATTGAAATGGACTCAGTGACAACTTTTTTTTTTTTTTTTTTAATGTTTAAATCACAAGTAGAAGGGAAGAGGTGGGAGTTTGGGATTTTGTCCATCTTCCCTTTTCCTCACTCCTTCCTTTTCTGAGTCCTGAAACTCTCTTACTTTCCCAGGAATTACATTGTTTAACCCTATAGTGAGAGGTAGGTGGATATGCTGTGTTGCAAATGCCACATACTAACTGAGGGTGTAGTGTGGGATGAGGGGAGTTCCTAGTGAAAAAAATTCCTCATTTTCTTGCTTCTAGATATAATATGGCTTGAGTCATTTGTTTCATACTGACTTTTAATTGCCCTAAATACGGTTCAGAAATTTTTATGGGAGCATTAGTCAACCAATATATTTTTGAGTAGTCGAATTTAGACAAATAACAATACACTGACTATTTTACACAGAATGAAAATGTGGCTCTTGGGGTTGCTGGTCTGTCTGGTCCTTGGGACTGTGCATTCAGAGGGGCCCAGAGAGCAGCGAGCATCTGTGGATCCTGAAGCCAACATGAACGTAGTAAGTTTCTCAGTTACCTGCTTATAAATGCACCTGTGGCAGTGTTAATTATTTTCTTAAATCCAGTTATATGGCTCAAAATAAGTCAAAACTCTGGTGTCCTTCTATCCCATATGCTTTACATTTTCCTTGAACCTTAGATTCCATTTGCTAGACTTTTCCTATCAGGTGTGTGTATTTCAGGAGTCTTTGGTTGGTCCCAATGGTTAACACATTCAGCTGCTAACAAAGGTTGGAGATTGGATTCCACGTAGAGGCACTTAGGAGGAAAAGCCTGGTGATCTGCTTGCAGAAAATCAGCCATTGAAAACCCTGTGGAGCACAGGTCTACTCTGACACACAAGACGTTGCCATGAGTTGGAAATGACTGAATGGCATCTGGTTTAATATGTATTGTAACCCTATTTCACTGCTAACATTGTATACTTCTTAATAACATAAGTGATGACTTTTATTAATTCATTTCATTTTTAAGTCCTACTGAATTTTTTCTAAATAAAAATGTGTCAAAATATTGTAAGAATGTTACTATTGAGTGTGGGTTTTAGAGTACATTGAACAAGGATAGTGACTGAGATAGTCAAGGGAACACAGGTCAATACAAATATCAAAGTATTTGAAAATAGTATC